GCAGCTGGGGGTGACCAAGCTGGCAGGGGGGGCAGTAAGAGGCAACCAGGCCGGCTGGGGGCGGGGGGCAGTAAGGGGTGACCAGGGCAGAAGGGAGGGCAGTTAGGGTCAATCAGGCCAGCACACAGAGGCAGTGAGGGGCAAATCAGGCCAGCGGGGGTTGGGGGCAGTTAGGAGCGACCAGGCAGGCAGGCAGTGAGCAATTATGAGCCAGCAGTCCAGGATCGGGCCTAAACCGTCAGTTGGACATCCGCCAAGGGGTCGGGTCCCAGATTAGAGGGTGCAGGCTGGGCTGAGGGGACACCCCCTGCCTTGAGAAGTGACCAGGACAACGGAGGGCAGGGGGTTGAAGCAGTTGGGGGCAACCAGGTCAGCAGGGGGGGCAGCTGGGGGTGACCAAGCTGGCAGGGGGGGCAGTAAGAGGCAACCAGGCCGGCTGGGGGCGGGGGGCAGTAAGGGGTGACCAGGGCAGAAGGGAGGGCAGTTAGGGTCAATCAGGCCAGCACACAGAGGCAGTGAGGGGCAAATCAGGCCAGCGGGGGTTGGGGGCAGTTAGGAGCGACCAGGCAGGCAGGCAGTGAGCAATTATGAGCCAGCAGTCCAGGATCGGGCCTAAACCGTCAGTTGGACATCCGCCAAGGGGTCGGGTCCGCCTACCTTGGCGGCCTCTGAGCCTGCAGTTTGAACATTGTAACAAACATAGAGCTAAACAAAACCCCAGAAACCAGCTTTCAGGGAGCTGGAATCTCAGAGCTGGAGTTGATACAGAGTTTCGATTAGAACCGAAACAAACCAGATACCGTCTTGCAGGAGTGAAGGCATAAGAGCTGGAGCCTCAGAGCTAAAGCTGGCCCAGAATAAAAAGAAAAAGAAAAAAAAAAGCAGTGGGTAGCTTCAGCCCCAGCCTGAAAACAGCCCTCAGCCCCTCACCCAGACTGGCCAGACACCCCAGTGGTGACCCCCCACCCTGAAGGGTGTGTGACCAGCTGCAAACAGCCATCATCCCCTCATCCAGGCTGGCCAGGCACCCCAGTGGGGACCCCCACCCTGATCCAGGACACCCTTCAGGGCAAACCAGCCGGCCCCCATCCATGCACCAGGCCTCTATTCTATATAGTAAAAGGGTAATATGCCTCCCAGCACTGGGATCAGCGGAGCTGAGAGGCCTCCTGGCACCGGGATCAGCGTGACAGGGGGCAGCGCCCAAACCCCCTGATCGCCCCGCGGCTGTGTGTGTGACAGGGTGCGGCGCCCCAACCCCCTCACCCCACGGGCCCTGCTCTGTGTGTGACGGGGTAGAGCCATAACCTCCCCATCGGCCCTGCCCTGAGTGTGACAGTGGTGGCGCCCTAACCCCCTGATCAGCCCTGCTCTGTGCGTGACAGGGGGCGGTGCGCCAACTCCCATATCGGCCCTACTCTGTGAGTGACGGGGGGAACTCCTCAACCCCCTGATGGGCCCTGCTCTGTGCGTGACAGCGGGGAGCTCCCCAACCCCCTGATGGGACCTGCTCTGTGCGTGACAGGGGGCAGCGCCCCACCCTCCTGATTGGCCCTGCTCTGTGTGTGACAGGGGGTGGCACCACAACCTCCCCATCAACTCTGCCTTGAGTGTGACAGGGGGCGGTGCCCCAACCCCCAATCGGCCCTACCCTGAGCGTGACTGAGGGTGGCATCACAACCTCCCAATCTGCCCTGCTCTGTGCATGACAGGGGGCGGCGCCCCAACTCCCCAGTCGGCCCTGCTCTGAGCCCAACCAGGGGCTGCACCTAAGGATTGGGCCTGCCCTCTGCCACCCGGGAGCAGGCCTAAGCCAGCAGGTCATTATCTCCCAAGGGGTCACAGACTGCGAGAGGGCACAGGCCGGGCTGAGGGAGCTCCCCCTCCCCACCGAGTGCACAAATTTTGTGCACCGGGCCTCTAGTATACATATAAGAAGCCAGGAGGAATTCACATAGATACAAATGGTGAATAAAATGTACCCATAATTCAAGGTTCGTTTGGGTTTAACATACCAAATATCCAATTACCTTCTCCAAAAGATGTTTCTAGCTATATTAAAGTAATCTGGAAAATATCTATTTCTACTATCCTCTACTTGGAATCCCTCTCATGGTAGGTATACTCAGAAATGTCCCATTGCTTAAACTTACTTAAAGCTTGATGCTTAGGAAATTTGTTGGTCCTTTAAAGAAATAGCTCAAGTTCACTTCCCCTTTAATATATTGGTTTCTTAGGTTATATATTCCTTAGCATCTCTTCCCCATGCAATCCCCAACTCTGACCTACAGTACTAGTGTTTTCAACCCATTTTTGAAACTATATTAGACAAGCAGTGCTGATAACTCTATAGGGCATGTAGTCCCTTACCATGAAAAGAAAGTAAAGTTCTACATGCCCCTACAGAGTTATCAGCACTGCTTGTCTATCAAATCAATACATTCTTTAATAAGGGAGAAAGCATATCAAACAAAGGTTCCAAAACTTTCTCACTTCACAGAACCCTTAATATCTCAGTAAATTTTTCCAAGGTATCCCATGGCTCAAAGAAACAACTAACATTTCCATTTATTAAGTAGTTAGACCCAAACAACCTAAGTATTTATGCCCTATGACATTAGCATCTATTGGGCATTACACTACTTCTCAAACCTTGAAATCCAATTAGATACCGCCATCCTCATTCCTGTTCCTAATCTATTTTCACCAGTACTGCTTATCACAGCCAAAACATGGCTTAACAAAGATATAACTTCAGCCCTGGCTGGTGTGGCTCAGTTGGGCATCGTCATATGCACGGAAAGGCTGCTGGTTCAATTCCCAGTCAAGAGTACATGCCTGGGTTGCAGGCTCCATCCCCTGTAGGGGACATGCAGGAGGCAGCCAATTGATGTTTCCCTCTCACAATGATGTTTCTCTCCCTCTCTCTTCTTCTCTCTAAAAATCAATTTTAAAAAATCTTATATATATGTGTAACTCACCAGAAGTAATGTGGTGATCTAATTTGAAATCCTATTTCAGATGGTAGTTAGAGCTGTGTCCTATATATGTCACAGTATTTCCCTGAAAAGTTTAAAATATCCCATGTTGTCCCCATGAGTTTGCTAAGACAATACAGTGCTCCTCAGTGCCCCATTTGGGAGCCATAGCCTTGTAAGTTTCCAGTGCCGTGTAGAACAATCCCTATAAAAATTAGGTCACAGGACTATTACATACATATGTCTAACAGGTTAATAAATTGAAATTCTATTTTCTTTAAATATTTTCTTATTGATTTCAGAAAGGAAGGGAGGAGATAGTTAGAAACAACAATGATGAGAGAGTGTCACTGATCAACCACCCCCCGCATGCCCCATACTGTAGATCGAGCCTGCAACCCAGGCACATGGCCTGACCAGGAATGAAACCCTCATCTCCTGGTTCATAGGCTGATGCTAAACCACTGAGCTATGCCAGTATTAAAAATGCTCAAATCAATACTTGTGAAGAAATAGGGAAGTTATTATACAATAGGGTAGAATCTAACAATAGAAGATGACCAATTTAGGTTCTGTAAGAACATTTTTTAAATGTATTAGATCAATATTCTAAATCTTTTTAAATTAGAATATTAGAGTAGAACTTATGCAAATCAAAATCATACATACAGTAGGTCATCAAAATGTCATGAAGTAAAATCAACCCTGGATTATCTTGGCCTTCATAAAACTTGTTTGTTCGATCTGTTCTGTTAACATCTTTTTCTGAGGAGGAAAATCACATATATGAAACATTTCAAAAAACAGATTTTTATAAAGCTCACATCTTATAAGTACAGGATTATTTTTCTTGCTATTAACTTTACTCTCTCACCAAGCCTTTACTAAATGAAAATAATTAATCAAATTCCATTTCAGGTATGCAATAAAGTAGCATTTTGGAATCATTTTCAAAAATCAGTCTACCTATCCATGAGTATGTTTTTAAATATTTTTATCTAAACACAGAAATCTTTTAATTGAATAATAGACAATATTTCCCATTAATTAAAAGCAACACTAGGTAGTAATTCACATTAGTTAGCAATAAAAATGCCAGTCATGATGCTTGTAATTAGGCAGTATTATTTGAAAACAGTAATGAAAAAAGCTACTATGCTATCAAGCGTAATCAAAGAGATTTGTTTAATTCATATCTGCTTCATTAATTATGAGAAGTAGTATCAGTTTCTTTATCATGTTCCATAATCATCTTCAGGACAAATTATTTCCTTATTCTCATATGTACATTATTCAGACTATATGTTAGTGTAAGCAATTTATTTTAATTTTGAAAAAATGAAAATCCACATTTTACTGGAAATAACTTCATAACATTCAAAAACAGATTTGGAAACATCACAAGAGTATCCCAAGTTATACTGACAATTCAATTCACGAACCTATTAAATGCATCTTGGGAAAGACTTTACAACTAAAAAGAGCATTTCTCTAACCTAAATCCCTCAGTAAATTGGAAATTTTTTAAAACTCAAAATGATAAATGTACTTTATAACCAATTCGGTTTAAAAGCTGTGGAGAAATGGGAGCGTATTATATAACAGAGTAGAATCTAACAATAGAAGATGACCAGTTTAGGTTCTGAAAGAACATTTTTAGAATGTATTAGATCAATATTCTAGCTTTCTGTTATACTACATGAGATTTAATGAAGAAAGCATATATCTATAGAATTGTGAAATAAGAAATAGCAATACAAAAATGCTATAAATGTAAAATTTCATTTAAAATGTCAAAATATTTCAGTCTCACATTACAGTTGATAAAGCGGTACATAATGAGTATTAACTTAAGCACAATTTACACAGCCATAATGCCAATACAGATTATCTGACTTAATAGGTGTTTCAAACACAGTAAAGTCATTTGTACTTTTTCCTCTTGTATATTTCTGCCAAGCAGAATACAAAAAAAAAAAAAATTAAAAAAATATTTCCTAAGGAAAGTATTTCTAGAAACTATTTCTAGAAAGACAATGAGTACTTAAGTTAAAAATAAATCCAACTCTCCGTCCAACTTGATGTAGCTAAAAATTTAAGACTGAAGAACTACTGTACAACTTCTTCTCTCTTCTCAAGCATCCAACACGTTATCTTCTACCACATCCATCATTTCTTCTCTGACCTCATCAGTTTCTATACTCCACCCACCTCACTCCAGCAACCCTAACCTCTCCACTGTACTTCGAACATCAAGACCCTGGGATGGAAACAAGTCTAACACATGTTTCTTTCTGCTTGGATTGCCCTTCACCTGGGTATCTACATAGTTCACCAATCCCTTTTTCAAGTTTCCACTCAAATATCACCTTTTCAAGAAGAGCCGCCTCTGATCACCCAAGTTAAAATAACACAACACATAAAATTCCTAAACATCTTTCCTGCCTTATTTTTCTATTTTAGCACTTATCACTAACATACCACATATGTTGCTTCTTATCTTATTTACTGTCTGTTCTTCCCCACAGGAACAAAAGCTACTTAAAGAATTTTATTTTGTTCCCTGATTTATCCCCATGCCTAGGAGAACCTACTACATAATAGGCACTAAGTAAATACTGAATGAATATGGGAATGTTTAAAATATCGTGATTATCAAAAAAATTCTTGTACAGCTATAGCTATGCATTCCTTCAATAACTTTTCCAACCTGGCCTTTATCATGAGAGTCGCACAACCCAGTATTCACTATTTAAAAATAAATCTAATTCTCTTAATGTAAAATTCTATCATTCATCTCCTTTTTAGGTTAATACTCAATTTGCAAAAATTGACCAAAATTTTTGATCTATCTGGAGTCATTTAATGAAAAAATTAAATATACTCATATTTAGAGGATATCTGGAGGAATATAAACCAAAGCCTATTTAAACACAGTTATCTCTGGATGACTGAAACAAACCAATTTTAATTTTTTCTTTGTTCATCTACAGTTACTAATTTTTCATAATAAACTTTTTAAAATAAGACAATAATTTTAATTCAACAAGCAAGTAAAGTTAAATACTGTTTTTACTAATTCACATTTTGAAATTAAAATATAAAATATATCAGTATTTATAAATATACTAACTTCATATAGCTATTTGAAGAGGAAAAACCAATAGTAAACACTGCCGGGCTGGCTTGGCTCAGTAGTTGAGCGTCGATCTATGAACCAGGAGGTCGCGGTTTGATTCCTGGTCTGCCAACTCAATCCCCAGTGGGGGGGGTGCATGAGGCAGCCGATCAATGATTCTCTCTCATCACTGACGTTTCTATAGCTCTCTCCCTTCCTCCCTGAAATCAAAATATATATTTTTTAATTGATTTAAAGAACAGTAAACACATTCTAATGTACTCTTGAATTCTGATTTCTCTTTTGAGTCCCAATTCTATAACATAAATATTCATTTCTTAAATCTTATCAAGATTTTAATGTAAACCTTTCTCGTGCACTTCCAAAATTAAGAAAAAATTACCAATAAGACTTCTATAATCTCTTAACCTCGAATTTCTCTTCTCTTGTTCCTCGCTGACAGATTTCCACTGTAGTTTCATCCTGAAGTATTCATCACTATAGAAAACAATTTTACACCAAAAACAGCTTACTTTGAACATTTTATTTAAAAATTTTAATTGAGCTTTTCTACAAACATTTTATCAAAGCATTTATAATGCTAGTGAGATGCAAGTTTATAAATGATACTGAAATGTTTAAAGTTATGAAAACAAAGGAAAAATAAAACAACCTTATACATGTCATAAATTTTGCTTAAACTACTAGAATAATTTAGGTATGACTGTAAGGAAACATTTACCTTAATCCCTAATATCATACCTAAAATTATTCCAGTCATTAAGTATTTAACCATGAAAGTTTCTGAGTAATTACAAATACAAATCTACAGACTTTTTAAAATGTGACAAGTTTACCACATAAACTTGTTAATGTAAAAATGTCTTAGAAAAACTGGCAAAAAAAGTTGAAAAGAATTGTTTGAGAGTTTGAATATGCACATAATGATTAGGAGTGAGCTTTAAACTAAAGGCTAGACTGATGAACTAATAATAAGAGTATACCTGGAAAGTTGTTCTGTGTTTCTTTTCAAATCTGAGAGATTATTTAAAAATAGAAACACTCTTCCAAAAAAAAATGAAAGATCAGTTTATGTTACAAGAGCACAGAAAAATTAATGAAAAGTAATTAACCTAAATAGCAAATACACTTTTTTATAAGCTATTTTATAATCTCATAATAAATAACAAAAATAAATCTAGATAAATGAGGTATTTTAAAATCCAAACCTAATTAGTTATTTTTCAAGTATTCAAAATATTTGTACATAACTACAACGAGGTCTGTCTAATAAATGTTTCTGGTTTGAAGTAACTGTGGTATTCATAGTATATTTTTTACTACCACAAAGTTTATAATAAAAGTTCACTATGAAAATGCATACAACCCAATTTTTATGTTATAGTAAAACAGGTGCTGTGGAGAGGGGACATGTAGAAGCAACTGATTTCTCTGGTGAACACAGCCATTCTTTATATGCTCCAAGGCTTTTAACATGATGATACTATTTCCTCATATTACCATGTTCCAATATTGTTCTGTTGCCCACTAGTTGCCATCTTCACACATTCACCTATCACAAGATTCATAAAGGGATCAAATCCCTGCAATATTCCTTGGATATATCTGCCTTCATTTATTTTTTATTTTTATTTTTTTAAAATATATTTTATTGATTTTTTACAGAGAGGAAGGGAGAGAGATAGAGAGCCAGAAACATCGATGAGAGAGAAACATCGATCAGCTGCCTCCTGCACATCTCCCACTGGGGATGTGCCCGCAACCCAGGTACATGCCCTTGACCGGAATCGAACCTGAGACCCTTCAGTCCGCAGGCTGACGCTCCATCCACTGAGCCAAACCGGTTTCGGCTATCTGCCTTCATTTAATTTCAATGATAATTTCGTGTCCATAGTTGTTTTTTTTTACTCAAGAGAGTAAATTTTGCTCATGGTGTCTACTCAGTGAGCTCAACGATACCTCCAAACACAATCTGTGGACTCCCTCATGCTCCTGCACTGGTGGGCATAATTTTTAAATTAAAAGGATAAAAATAAAATGACTTTCTCATATCCTAGTCTACATATCCTAAATAGTCATCTAAAAACCCTTTACTGCCCAGCCAGAGTGGCTCAGTGGTTGAGCATCAACCTATGAACCAGGTCACAGATCAGTCAGGCACATGCCCGAGTCGCAGGCTAGATTCCCAGTAGGGGGCATGCAGGAGGCAGCTGATCAATGATTCTCATAATTGATGTTTCTATCTCTCTCTCCCTGTCCTTCTCTGAAATGAATAAAAACATTTTAAAATAATAATAAATAAAAACCCTTTATTAATTTCTATGGGTGGGTTACCTAAATTTCTTTGATGAACATACAAAAGACAATTACTTACGTTTTTTGTTTTTGTAATTGAGTTCTTTCCTCCTTGGTACTGTCCCAAGGAAAGTAACCCAGAAGAAATTTCCATACTTGCTTCCTCAATGCATGACTGAGTCCCTGAAGAAAACATGCATATTAAACGCATTCGTAAAAAAAGAATGCAGTACTTTAAGTTCACAAAGCTTGCATTTAAATAAACAGTAAGACTAATATTTGAGTTTTATACATAAAAACAGCTTAATTCAGTAAATACTATCTTGTTTTTGACTTTTGGATTCTCATGATATAAACAGCTGCCAGAAAGCTTAATAATGCAGAGAATATACAACAGACTGCATAGCAGACAGTGGGGCTGGTGAGTCTTTCAAAACCAAATCATTACTGGATAACACAACTACCACTGGGGCATATACATGTCTTCTTCACATAACCCATCACATCTGAAATAAGGAAAAATATCGTTCCCTAGGCTTACTGGTATACCACCTGACATCAGGGACATCACAAGCATCTAACTCTGTCCTTCAGCACTTTTAAAGCATCATTCATCAAAAAGGAATTCATTCCCTTCCCCTCCCCCAAAAAAGAAAAAAATCTTGAACACCAGCAGTTTAAAATACAATCCATATTAAAGTATTTACCCCTCGAAATATCATCTGCTTCATATTATCTACATTTAAAATTCTTCCTTCGGAATCAATGTTCTTAGTCCATTCTTCCAGTGATACTGGCTCTCTCCTTTGAACAACAGGTCTTTCTCCCAAATCAATCTAAAATAAGATAATCAATAAAAAGTATACCTTTAACCAGTGAAATGAAATCATGGTAATAGAAACTTAAACTAAAATATGATTACTCAGAAATGTTCTAACATTTTTAATATCTTCCCTTGTTTTCCAATATTTAGTTTATGAACTAAATAGTTAATATTCCATACATTTTTCCTCCTACTAAACATACAAATAATTGGGTTATAAATTCAGGATGGAAAAACATTTGCTATTTTGGGTTTCAATTACGTAAGTGCAGAACAGTTAACATGTAAATTCCTATAAGAGACCCTTCACACTAAATGGTATGCTATATTATTAAAAAAACCGTATTATTCCATTAATCATATTCTAAAATTAGTTTTTCTTCCAAACTAAAATTTGTAGCTCTCAGAACTGATTCATTAGCTCCACTTGGTATTTTCTACAGTTTTTAATTCAATTAACGGATGTTGGTAATTTAAAAATGCCATTTACAATATAAGCCCTTTAATTAAGTACCACAATTTAGATATTTATAATGCTCTAACTATGTGCAGCCTAGCACTGTAGCAAATTCAAAAGTGTTGTTGCGCAGATATGTAAAGATTGGCCATAATTCAGGTCCAAAGTCCATATTATTTTAAAAAGAAAAGATTCCCATGAGAATAAAAACCTTAGAGTAGTAGTGTCTTGACTGGTGCCTCTGGAACAGAATTAGAAGCAATACTCTAGGGCCGTGGTCGGCAAACTGCAGCTCGCGAGCCACATGCAGCTCTTTGGCCCCTTGAGTGTGGCTCTTTCACAAAATACCACAAAATACCACAAAATACCACGTGTGGGCGCGCATGTACAGTGCGATTGAAACTTCGTGGCCCATGCACAGAAGTCAGTATTTTGTGGAAGAGTCACACTCAAGGGGCCAAAAAGCCGCATGTGGCTCACGAGCCACAGTTTGCCGAGCCGCAGTTTTATTAAAAGGTAATCAGGTCACTATTCACTGCTGTCCACTCAATGAAACAAGCAATCTTTTCATTATTATTAAAAGGTAATCAGATCATTCCAGTAAGAGAAAGCAGCTTGCAAAGAGGAATGGAGTCCAAACAGGAAATGGCAAGAAGTCTTTTGAAAACATCATCCATTCTCTAAGGACAAAATTGCTACACCAAATGGGTTTGTCACTTTATAGTACATCTTGTGGCTTCCATGTGGAAGAAATAAAAAGAAAACTTCCACTGTTTCCTGGAGGAATCCAGTGACCTTCAGAAGGAAGACAATGGCATTGGCTTTTCTTCCTATGAACAATCCAAGTACAAGGAATGACTTCTTGGGTGTTAACTTTCTCCTCAGGATTTGATCTGAAAGCAATAAAAGTACTATGAACCCCAGAGGATGGAATGGCCTTATGTGTGTTCATGGAAAGCACCTTAGTAATAAGATTTAAGAAACTTTCTTTAAAAAGTATCCCACTGTATGAACGTTGGGCTTTGGTTGGAGGAGCAGTATTTATTACAGCATGTGAGTTCAGATTAATGACTAGAAAGAGTTAGAGCAGATTTGTTCACAAGGTGATGGGTACAATAAATACTAAATTGAGGCAGAGCTGTCCAGCTGGCTGAAATTATCCACAGTAGATAAGCTCTCAAAGTGTTAAGTGGGGCCCTCAAACTGGATTCAAAACAAGCTTTCAACTTAGGAATGGTCAAAGAGGTCTTGCAGTGTTCAGATGAAACTGAATATACAAAAGGGGCACAAGTGGCTAAAGCAGTTTATGAAAGGGTCACCAGAAGTAATTAGAGCTTTGAAAAAAATCTGCTTCTTTAGGCAAAAAAGTTTTATTTCCAGGAGGCATTATAGACCGAAAGAGATCTTTTAGGAACACTTTGGGGTGGACCCATAAATTTAGAGGCTATTGCTAGGAAAGGAAAATTTTGTAAATAGTTACAACTCTAATGACTCATATGTAGAAAAGTTAAATGATATTAAACATGAATGTCAGAATTACTTTGCAGGGTACTACTAGTATTTGGGTTTGTTTTTAAAAATATTTTGAATACCTAAACTCACTGGCATAGTTTTCAGTATATAATATCCCTTCCCTTTTCTGTAGGGGATAGTTTCCATGATCCCAGTGGATGCCTGAAATCGTGGATAGTACTGAGCTCTATATATACTGTTTCTCCCTCTACTTACATACCAATGATAAAGTTCAATTTATAAATTAGGTGCAGTTAAGAGATTAACAACAATAACTAATAACACAATTATAACAGCAAAGAAAGGTAACAAAAAAAAAAGAGATCCAACATTAATGAACAGAAAGAATATGTAGTAATTGGTGAAGAACAATTTGGTGGCAAGACAAGTGTTAGTTGTTAAATATGTTAGCAGAAAGTTACAAGAAAGGATTATGAGAAAGAGGCAGATAAAACTAAATTTGAGTTTCTATTTATATAGCATTCATACATGTTTAAAAACATTCCTCTGGTTAAAATATAAGAGCTATATTAATATAAATCTCCACTCACTCTTGTGATGACTTCAAATCCCGGTTCTTCTTGTTGATTTATTTTTAAACCTGGAATAGCATCACTAAGAAAATCTGCCATTTCTGAAGGTGGTCGCTGATGTGTAGAGGGATCGCTGCCTCTCAAACTATCAAAAATGTAGTTTGTGACTTTGGAAAATCCTACCATAGTTGCTGTATAAGGATCCTTTTTAATTTTCTATGTAGTAGAAAGAAAAATATTAGCATTAATTCAAATGAAAAATAAAAATACCTCATGACGGGAAATCAGCACTAAAACAGTAGTCTAAGATTATCTTAAAATATTATTTTTTTCGGAGGAGAAAAAATTTAATTTTCTAAGCCAATCTTTTCATTTGGTTAAAATAGTATATTAAATGGGAAATTAATGCTACTGATTGAATTACAGGTAAAAAATGATTTGCAGGCTTCATTCAATCTGCACATCAGAAACTTATGCAGTGCTTACTTTCCATTGGTGAGTGGCCCACAACAGCTTTCTTCTGTCTAGCAGTCCTGCCTTCACAAAAGAACATTATTTCTGAAGCGTGCAGTACCACACTAGCCTAACACAAAATATTTGGTAGCTAAGTTTAAAAGCTCACAATTCTTAAATATTAGCTGATATTTTAATCTAATTATATGATTAGTAAATCATGCCAAGAAAAACAATTCGTTCTGGGGAGTGCTGTGCCTAAAAACAGCAAAAGGTTTTTCTACTGCTAGGGTTACTTCTAAATCCCAAAATGCCTGATTATTCAGTTAGCAAAAATTGTTACTTCTTTAAAGTCAATCTTTATTGATTATTTAATCACAGTAAGAAAATCTGTTCCCTCACTTTTCTTTTTTAATCCTCACATGAGGATACGTTTTAATTGATTTTTAGAGAGGGTAGGGGAGAGAAAAAGAGAAACATTGATGTGAGAAACATTGGTTGGTTGACTCCCCATACCCACCCCAACCAGAGGTCAAACCCACAACCTAGGTATATGCCCTGAAAATCAAACCTGCAACCTTTTGGTGTATGGGATGATGCTCCAATCAACTAAGCCACCCAGCCAGGGCCCTCACGGTTTATTTTAATCAGTGGTTAGCTCTCTTGTCTTCCTTATCTTAACTTCAGAACCAAGAAGAGCTTTGACCGGATAGCTTAGTTGGAAAAAAAAGGGCACATACAAAAATCAACCGATAAATGCATAAATAAGTGTAACAACTAATTGATGTTGCATGCTCTCTCTTTCTCCTTTCCTCTCTCTCTAAAATCAATAAAAAATTAAATTAAATTAAAAAAAAAAAAGAACCAAGAGAATATCCGGGACAGAGTACGCACTCAAACATTTGTTGAGTGAGTGAGTAAATGAATGAACAAACAACCATTTCATTAGATTACATACAAATCTGAGTGAAAAATAAACTAACTTTATTGTATCAAGTGCACATTTTTAGCCAAATGCAAGAATATAATCAAATATTTTAAGAGGAATTAGAACCTACATAAATAGAAAATAAAAATTCAAACCAGATCTTTGCCTAATTTTCTCATTAATGAATTCAAAATAGCTTACACAATGATATTTCACCTAATCAATGAAAGCAATTTCAGAGAAAAAATATAAAGGGAAAAAAATACTTTGAGAGTAACTAAGAACCAAAGAAGCTTCTAACAATATAAAACATACTATTATTTCTATAAAATTACAGCGAACAATTTTATAAAGTTTACAAAGAGACATTTGCCTCATTCTGTGTAACTAAGAAAGTTGAGAGGTAGGGGGTATATAAAATAATGGAGACAGATTAACAGATCAATAATACAGATTTAAGAAACATACTTGTATTAAACCATATGCTGGTTCATCAAGAAGATTTTCAAAAGACTGTGAAAGACTCTTATTCGGACAATTCACAAGAAGTATTCTTTTATCCTGTGGAGCTCTGTAATAAAAAGAAGGGATGTATTGAAAATGCTAGCATAATGCATCAATTACTACCTGAATAACTCTAGTGCAGTTACTTTTCCTTAACAACAACGAAAAACTTAAATGTCTAGTTTTTGAATTGTTTCCCATTAATATAATATTAACAAGTACTTAGAACTACCTTGAGTTCCAAAACTACATGAAATATTAAATTTACGAATATAAAAGGGTTGAAGTATATTTTTCTTCTAAGTAAAACCCAGAGGACTACATTGTAATGAACCCAAATTCCTGTTTAGAATTATAGCAGAAAACCTTAAAAATATATCTTTCTTTATATCATCAAAACTAAAGTAAGACAAAACACACTCTAGGATTCATCAGTATATATACTATATACACTCTAGGGCAGTGGTTCCCAAACTTATTTGGCCTACCGCCCCCTTTCCAGAAAAAATATTACTCAGCGCCCCCTGGAAATTAATTTTTTTTAAATTTTAGTAGCAATTAAACAGGAAGATATATGTATTAATGTTTCTACCTTTTTCGTAAAATATAGTAAAGAAAGGTGTAAATTAGAAACATTGAAGTTTGAAATTATGAAACTATTTATTGAACTCAGAATAGAAAGGTAATACAAAAAAAGTTAAAACAAATGCACCTGTGGCCATCACCGCCCCCCCTGGATCGCTGCAGTGCCCACCAGGAGGCGGTAGCGCCCACTTTGGGAATCACTGCTCTAGGAAAATGTCCCACTATGAAATGGTTTCCAATTTCATTCCACAGCTTGGTAGTATTGCATATAAGATGTTAAAAATATAAGATACAGCCCAGCTGGTGTGGCTAAGTAGTTGAGCATCGACCAATGAACCAGGTTCAATTCCCAGTCAGGGCACATGCCTGACTTGCAGGCTCGATCCCCAGTAGGGGCCGATCAATGATTCCCATCACTGATGTTTCTATCTCTCTCTCCCTCTCCTTTCCTCTCTCTGAAATCAGTAAAACCTATTAAAAAATATAAATGATAGATGAATTATCAGTTAAAGATCATTAATTATGCTAACCGTAATTATTAGCACACAAAAACATATTTAACAAGGTTATATAATGTACAGTTCAGGTAATAATATTTTTTAGTTCTTGCTTATTAAGCTCTGGACACAAGTTTTTCTTTATATTTCTTCAGAGCTACAGAACAAAAAAAATACATTCCAAGTAGACATCTGTCTAATTTCAGGTAATCAGATGAATTACCCACTTTTTTCTATTCAAATAAGTTTGATAACTCAGTAAGTCAACTGTAATGAATCCACAACTTTTATGTTTAAAAATTAAATGTGTTATTTTGCTACTATCTATTTCTAGTTTATCATAAATGTTTGAGATAAGAACTTTAATAACAGTTATCTCTTCTCCATTCTAACATAAAAGAATGCAACAGCAATGCTAAGGGGAATATGAAATCCAAAACAGGATCTTATTCTTACATATTCAGAAACGGCACTCAATCTTCAGAGACAATAGGAGCTTAATAAGCCCATTGGCTTTTTAAAGTAGCTGAGGTTGACTCATTTGCAGTAGAAAAATAATTTTTTTAATGTTCAATTTCCATTAAATACCTTCTTTCTGAGCACCTTTTGGGGTCATGTTTAATATGAAGACCTAGAGTAGAGGTTCTCGCATAGTATTTTTAAATAAAAGATCAACTTTTAAATGTAGCACCAGAACAAGAAACTAATATAGAAACATACTTTTTTCTACCACAGTGCTGCTGTTGCATAGGTTATCATTTTGTTTCTAACAATAACTAAGTCAAATTATTTCTTTAAAATCCAAATAAAAATTGGTCATTAAAATCAAAACTCTGGCTATGCATATAGAAGGGGAACAAAAATACAACCTTCAACTATCTGGACTCAGAGCATTACAGCTACAGATCTAAAACTGTAGTCAGTAAACTGTAGATGGGAAGAAGAAATGATTGCCCAATGAACAAGCAACCACAGATACTTTGTAAAAAGGAAGGATTTCATTCTTTATAGCCAATATTCTGTGATGAGGGGCTGGGGAGAGCTCTAGGAGGAGAGATATAAGAAATTTAAGACTTAGTTGCCCCTAAAAAAAAATCAACAAAACATTTTTAAAGTGCATCAGCCAAAAGACAAGTAGTATATGGTTAGACAATTACAGAGTATTGGCACTCCAGAATATTGCTACATTTCCACAATAATACAAACTCCATGAAGGCAGGGGTCATATCTTTTTTGATTATTGCTCTTTTCAGCTCTTGACCCAGTTCCTCAAAAACAAATTTAAAAAATTAGTTGTTAAATAAAAAAATAGAGGGAGAAAGAACAACACCATTCCCCCGGTTTCGTGTTTCCTAATGGAAATATGCACTTGTTCTAAAGAAATTCTCCTTCACAGGGACACATTTGATTGCTGAAATCAGGAAAAAACAAGGTGCATGTTTGGCAAAATCCCATCCCGGCTCTCTCCTGTTCCTGGATCTGCCTGCGAACAGAGAAAGCAGTTTCTAGTCTGCTCTCATTCACATCATAAGTGATCTGTCCTCTTGAGGGAGACCTGCAGTTGTCTGAAAATGACAAACACTGGGTGCCTTCAAAACTAATTTAGGGTGAATTATTATGATGCTACATATCTAAGCTTCACCGATAATGGTGATATTTTTATCAGCAACTGTCTGATTCTTATATTTACTACTCAGTAATTTACAAATACAGGAAAGAAAACAACAGTTCACTTACAGCCCTCATTAAAATATGACCAGCACAAGTTCAAGCTACACATGCCCTTATAATGTGACTAGAGGCTCCGTGCACAAAATTTATGTGGGGGGGGGGGGGGGC